AATAATATACTCTAACTTATGAGTGAATGATAATGAAATGGTTTTAAAAATCTAGGAAAATAGTAATGATTTGAATTGATAGTTATCTTACAAAATCCCATCATTTACAAGGTTCCCTAACCAGTCTTTACATCCCACCCAAGAAATTAAGATAAGGCCTACTGTAACCTAAGTTTTCCTCCATAAGAAATTCCCAAAATAAATCCTAAATCCCACATTTAAAACAGGAATACACAAGAACAGACATACAAGACTAGACAGCCGCTTTGGAGTTTGAGGAAATAGCCTATTTCACCCTTAACGGAAAATACGTAGTTATATAACCCTTTCTCGCCATTTCCTCACATTATAGACGTAATTTCATAAGTTTACCGTTCATAATATACGCGTTTCACACCTCACCACTTCATCCTGTCACAATATGTATGAAATGCGGGAATATACATCTTTATACCATAAAACATATTTCCCGGTTATTATTACAAATTGAGTCGATAGATGCACTGTATTAATTGATACGCCGATCTAATTACAGCTCTCGATGTGGAGTATGCTACCTTAAAATAAGACACATGAGTTATATGAGGATAGTGTATACAAATCTCCAAAATATACCAATCTATGATAACCAAATGTATCTCTGTTCACCTCACCTTAGTGTATCGTTCCATACTTAATTTCAGCAACCCTAACATTCCATCTTTTAAACAAAAATTGTTAACAAAAATGCACTTCCGGTGCACAAAAACACCAACTCTGCTATTAGGTCTCTGGTAAGGGCCCTAAAAGCTACTTCGCTCATTCCCAATATAATGTGATCGCGTGGAATGTCCTAATGGCGCCTCTTCCTCGCACACAACGTGGGAGGAGTTGTCCTTAAATGACCTAACTTGTTTCTTGATTTGGTGTTGTACCTTTTAAGGTCATCCGAGACATTGTCTCATGGTAGCCTTTGCGATCGCCTTTCTTCCAGCAACGTCCGTTCGTAAATTTTAAACATTTATATTTTGTTCATCTTTATTGGAAATATTTCAAACTTTGATAAAATTACTAGTGCAGGATGACAGCTGATGGAAGGCAATGAAGGTTTTTTTTTTTTTTTTTTTTTTTAAATTGTGAATTCTATTATTTCAGGGTCTCGCATTTCCCTATAGGATTGAGATACAGTTTACAATAGTATATATAGGAAAAGTACATTTTCAGTATAATTTATTCATTTTCCATTGAAAACCATGGAAGATATCTAGATTTTATTTCAAAAATTCGGATCCTGCATCAAAATTACAAGCATGCAAAATTAAGCTCCCGGATTGATTAGTCAATCAGACACAATCGGAAACAATATTGCAAAACCTGTAATATCCTCCTAACTGAATAGAAATACAATAGTTCTGTGTTTATATCAACATTTCAAGCTTCCAGACCACTCTATACTGTCGATGAGTTTCTTTATAAAAACATTATGTGTCTATCATGTTCGAACTACGTTATATTCGCTTCCTCTTTCCGTGCTACGAAAATTTTAAGTGAATTCAGCTAATACTGCTTCAGATGACATTTTAAAATTAGCCTGGAGACTTCATAAAATTATTGATAATGTCCCGCAAATCAGGCTTTTTAAGCCGGTCCATACAGATGGCCGCGATTTTCCAACAACTCGCGAATTGATGAAAGTTGAATTTGTAAGTTAAGGAATGGATGCTATAAAAACAGAAGCATCTCTGTAAATTACCACATTTACTCCAAGCTTTCCAACTATAAACAAAAGTTGCAACAACTGAATGTTGATGACCTTAGAATTAGAGTCCTAAATATCGGGCAACCCTGTCCATTAATTGGCATATGAATATCAAGATACTTAAAGATTCTTCTGAAAACGACGCCAGTGATTGGTGAAACAAGGTGTTGGATTAATTCTATGAGTGGGTTAAATCCAATCGGTCCATCATTCTTACAGATTAGATGTCCAATAATTTGATGCTTCTCTGCAAACGTTATATTTCCTGTATACAAAAAGAACATAGAAGACTCCACCTACACATTATGCAATATTTCCAAAGACGAAATACTAGCTTCGGTATCACAATAATTTAATTTGCCGATAAATGATAAGGTTACGGACCTACCTCGTTTATATTGGATTCGTAAACTTTTTATTAAAATGTTTCATTGTTTTATTTCTGGATCGTCCAGCTTTTAACCAAGCCATTGTCAAACCTACTAACCACTATTCTTAGCAACTCTGGGGTGTAGTCTTATAGTGGTACCGTTTGTTGAAGAAAAGGAATTAATAGTATGTTGATTTTGAAGAACTCAAAAGAGCTTTTGACTAATCTTTAACATCCTCTAAGACCATTTGTTTGATCAACACTGCACACAACTATGCCCAATTTGAAGCTGAAAGAACGTCTTCGTCCTCTTGTTATGAGAGCTTTATTTTCCATTAAAGTAGTTCAAAGTAATTTCTTAATCAAGAATTGACGAAAACACTTATATAATTATTATATAATAAGGAACGTTCAACCTTCTAGGTCTCGTCAGTGAAGCTTGGGAGACGATCAGGAGGTGCATGAGCCGCGTAATTAAAACAATCTTCGTAATTTTGATATTTCTGATAATTTATAGAAGAACGCCAAGTATATGTGCATATCCTGAACCATGCCACTATTCGAATGAATCAAAACGTAGCATGCAAGTTATGGCAAACCTCGCGGATATAAAGTCCGCCAGCAGTGCACCTGCATTCTCGAAGATTTTACAAGACCTACAAGTGAATAGCTCCTTTCAATACAAATTTAGAGTTATATACAGTAGAAGCAAAATGTGAAGTAATGATAACATATACACAATTTTCGTTTTTCTTCATCAATGCATATAAAGTCAGCAGAGGGACGAGTGATTGATGCTGGGACGACCGGTTCCCTGTGGCAATCATTCCGTGCTTTCAAACAACACTGCTCTCAGCCTGACGGGCTGGTTGGGTGGCACAGTGATAACGCAAACGCCATGTGGGTTTTCCCCATGGTACTCCGTTTTCCACCAACAGTAAAACTCCTCGCGTGATTCCATTCGTGCCTATAACAGTGATTGATGCAAGTTGATAAAACTTATTTCACAATTGTTGTGAAATAAAATAAGTAATTCTTTGTTCTCCGATCGATCTTAATTTATCATGTTAACATTTGTTTTACTGAAATGTATTCTCATTTTACTTTGATCTTCTTTTCAGCGGACCATCCAGATATATATGCGGAGGAATCCTGGTAGTGACGATGGGCATCGGGATGTTAGTTTTTAACATAAGCGTATTGAAATCCGAGGTGATGTTTCCTTACTTTGTCAAGCCAGACCAACCTGCATTTCAGGAAAAGTTATCTTCTAAAGAGATTAATGTTCTTTACTACAACAAACCTGAATGGGTAGATAAAAGTGTATTCAATAATTGTGAATACCCATGCAAAATGATATCTGGCTCAAAGCTAGACTCGGCAAATTTCGTCGTTTTTCATGGACCCAGAATAGGGACGAAAACCAAACCACCAAATAAGTTACGTGGTCAAGTTTGGATAATGCATGGTATGGAATCTCCACATCACTATTATAATGACTTGACAAAGTGGAATAATTTGTTTAATTGGACGTTCTCATTTAGAAGGGATTCTGATGTTCTATCACCTTATTCTGGATTTCAGTTGCATCGAAATAACACTACAATAAATATACGTAAACAGTGGAAATCCAAAGACAGAAATACTGCCTGGATGGTGTCTAACTGTCACACCCCAAGCAAGCGAATGCAATATATGAAGAGTCTTAAAAACTCCATCGATATTCATGTTTACGGTGGCTGTGGTCAATACAGATGCGCCAGATCAAACGAAAACAATTGTATGGAACTTCTTCAAAAACATTACAGATATTACTTGGCCTTTGAAAACTCTCTGTGTATTGACTACATTACAGAAAAAGCATTTAAAACCTATACATTCTCTCCCTCTACGGTCTCAGTTGTAAGAGGTGGGTCTAACTACTCCCTGTTTCTCCCACCCGGTTCTTACCTAGATGCTAAGGACTTTGAAAACGGCCATGCGTTAGGGAAAGCGATGAAGAGATCTTTTGATAATGCAACTGATTTTTTTTCATGGACTAAATATTATACCAAAAGTACGAGTGTAATGTCAACATGGTGTCATTTATGCAAACATATTCACCATTCTGAAAGCTATAAACGTATATATTCAAACATCAAATTTTGGTTGAAAGATCTTCCAAGATCAGGTTGTAAAACTCCCAAATAGCTATGAAGAAAAATGAATTTGTTTTCGATATGAAATACATATTTAAATTCATTTAACACAGGACAAAATATGTTTTACATTCAGTTCGATTGCTTTCAGGTTTCCACACTTTTTAAGACTGAGCTAGATATTGTTTTTGTCTTTTTGTTGGCGTCATTTTCTGTTGTTATTTGGCTTTAAATGACTCCTATTGTCGATGCGACGAAAACACACTGGCTATTGATGTAATGTGTTATGCCAAGGCTGTTATCAAACACCGTTCTTCAAATCTGAAAGCCAAGAAATGTTAATTCGTAATCGGACACTCACTATTAACGACTAGTTTAATGTATTATGTAGAACTGTAATTTATATCTCTTGAGAAGTTTTTCATTATCTATCGAATCCCTTCGGAGAATAAAGTCGTACCACGTCATCTACTAATTAAGCTTAATTCGAACCTAGAAACCTTTGTATCCGAATTCCACTCGACAGTTTCAGTGAAAGAATACTTTCGATCTTTCTAACATTTTAGGCTAAGGCAGGGCTTAATGCGGAATGTGTATTCAAATGGCATTTTCTACAGGTGTCATCTTCGTTTATCAATTCGATTGGAGGTGTCATGACTAAGAGAGGCAGTGTTATCATCGTAGAAACCCTTTTCAGCTGTCTCTTACCAATACAGACTTCTTATTTATTGCACCTGTGTAATCATTGTAAAACAAAATCCTCCAAGTTTTCTGTCAAATGTTTGAGCGCACAAAGCCCAGATACCCCGGCACCTATAACAGCTATTTTCTTTCTGTTTACAAAGCGGTCTTCACTCCTAAAAGTAATATATATATATACACACACAATCAGATTGATGAAAAGTACGAGGAAAGATTATAGCCGTCTTAGTAATCTAAATGAGGATTTTTAAAAATTTCCTTGTGTAATATGAAGCTGGAGGTTTTTGATGCTTGTAGTTTGCTTTTGTATACCTTGTACTCGTTTAAAACGTGACATTACTGATTAGATTGACCAAGGTGGCAGGTGGCAGCAATGAAGCAGAGGACGCTTGCTCTTCCGGAACATTTAGTTTTATTATCCCAGTACTTTTTCAGGAGCTTCTATGTCAATATTTCTTTTGTCCATATTTTGCCATAATTTTTATTAAATTCGAAATTAATTGACTTAGGATTATGATTATGTGGAAATGTTGGTATGTCCGATTTGTGTTTATAGGCATATCAATTTTTTTCTCTTATCTATGATATTTTTTGTTGATATCTGTATAAATACTGCGTACCGCCATAGTGTGTTTGTTATATATTATTATGGGAAGTTTGTGCTCCTGAATCCAGGAACAAGATAATGTTTGTTCAAGTTCTATTCAAATGTATTTCAATGACTAAATGGGTAAATAAATTTAGTTAGGCCTGAAATAATTACAAGAATAAGCTTCATAATTAGCTAGATCATTCTATTTTTGTAATTTCAATTTCAATTTCAACGCAATTTTATTAACATTCCATATGTCAAACGGATTGGACAACAGGCTGAGCCTATATCAGTCCTTTCCAGAATTAATACATAAATACATTACATTTATCTGCAAGAAAATCCAGTGAATAAAATATTGTATATATTAAATTAGGATATAACAGGTAAAGGGAGGTAACTCCAATTTATTGTGGAACGTGAAGTAGTTCATTTTGTCAGATTATTTTTCATAGGATTATAAATAAGTTGAAATAATACAGGTTTACTGATAATTTACCATGCAAGAATCCAGGGATTCAGGTCATAAAGTCCATGTGTATAAACACCTCGACCATCCACCCAAGGATATGCATAATAACTTATCAACAATTCTGCATTTACTATGTTGATAGGTAAGATCATGGTTAAGTTTGAGAGGTTTATAAAATGGTATTTAAGTTTTTTTCATCTATATTGGAGTTGGTCCTCTTAACATAGTATATAATAAGTTAACAAATCAGTTACTACTACATAAGTATAAGTAGCAATCATGAATTTAAAGAATACATTCAAAAAATACTTTCAAAATGCTCATCAATTTCAGTCAGAAATGCTATTAAAACGCTTGATATTGCTGATTTACATACATCAGGTATTATTTCAGTGATCCGTGGATAAAGATTAAATGGAGAAAGATTAAATTAAATGGAGAAATTATACATTAAATCTATTAGTAAGATGGAAATAATCAAATACTATATGAAGTAAGGCTAAATTGATGTCAGCATTACATACCATTATAACCATTCAAAAGAGTTTCAATGTTTAAGTGGTCATGATCTAGGTGTATGTCTATTTCAGCTATGTTTTGAATTAACCGATTTCTATAGTCAGTGTATAATGGGCATTCAAGTAGGAAGTGCCGAGCATTTTCAGTTTCATGACTACATATACATGTTGAAGTGTCAAGCAAATGGTCATTAAATAAATCAGAGTTTAAGTTACTAGCATTGTTTCTAAGCTGGCATAATAACATATTATATTTTCTAGGTCCTGTGTATTTAAAAGTTTTAATGGCACCTGTTTGATTATTTACATTGGGCTTTATAATTTCTGAAATTTCTGAATTAATGTTTACTAAGTCAGGTTGGAGCATATTAAAATCACTTAGAGTTAATGGGAAATAGCTATTTCTGTAACTTTCTGTTCTACAAACAGGAGGATTGAATAAACGAGTATTTCTTAGAGGCTATCTTACATTCTCATTAGTATAAACAAAAGGTTCAATAATATTACGTAAGTAGCTTGGAGTCTCATTTCCCAGAATTTTATAAATAAGAAGAGGTTTATGTTGGCTTCGCCTATTACAAAGAGTTTCAATTCCAGTTTCTGTATAGAATTTATAATGAGATGTCCCCCTTCTTAACCCAGTAATTATCCTAAGTGCTTCTAACTGAACTGATTCTAATAAGTTTTTTTCCTGATTTGTACAATTATCCCAGATGACATCCCCATACTCTAAAATTGGTCTAATAAAGGAAGTGTATATAGTTGTTAGACTTTTCCTGTCTACTTTGTGTTTAAGCATTCTCAAAATATTTATTCTCTTGTAGGCTTTATTGTATATATTAGTGATATGGTGAGACCATTTACCATCACTACTAAAAGTTAAACCTAAATGTTTATGAATCTTGACAGAGCTGACTGAATCACCTGCAAACAGTATATCAGGATTAATTTGTTCCCTTTTTCTTGAAAAAAGTAAAGATTCTGTTTTCGGAGGATTAAACTTGATATCCCATCTGTTAGCCCATATATTTAGATTGCTTAAGTCATAGGTTAATTTCTGTGCAATTTCACCAGAATTATTTTCAATCACTTCAAAAATTGATGTATCATCAGCAAACAGCTTCAACTTGCTTGTGATGCAGTCAGTTATGTCATTAATATAAACCAAAAATAAGAATGGACCAAGAACTGAGCCTTGAGGGACACCAGCTTTTACATGTTTAAATGTTGAATGAAAACCCTCAGTTAGTACCCTTTGCTTCCTATCAGACAAATAGTTTTTAAACCAATTCAAAACATTACCACTTATACCATATGATTCTAATTTAAAAATTAGGCCTTCATGCCAAACTCTATCGAACGCTTTGCTAACATCACAAAATACAAATCTGATTTCATTATTTTTATCCAAATTACTTATAATAGTTTCATATATTTCCAATAATTGATTTACAGTAGTCTTTTGGTAAAAAGCCTGATTGATGCTTAGTAATTACTTCACAATCTTTTAGGTAATTAAACATATATTTAAAAACTACTTTTTCAATAATTTTACTAAAACAAGATGTGATAGATATGCGCCTATAATTAGATACATCATTTTCAGAGCCTTTCCCTTTATAAATAGCATTAACATCAGCTGATTTCCAAGATGCTGGTATAGTACCTGTTTCAAAAGTTTTATTACAAAGAAGAGTAAGAGGGCGTACAAATGAGGGGGTTAATCTTTTTATCATTTTAGGTATCATATTGTCAGGACCAGGAGGTTTTCTGTCATTAGGTAAGAGAAGTTGATCTTTAATGTCCTGCTCAGAAATGGTAATATTTTCTAGTTTAAAAGGGACGTAACTATCAGGTTGAGGTAGAGGATCCAGATTTTCAGATGTTGTTGAAATCGAAATGAAATAATTATTTAGACACTCAGCCTTATCAAATGGATGATTGACATACTGATCATTTACATATAGAGGTGGTAAAGAGGTAGAAACATTATTAGAGTTCATTATTGACTTAGCAATTTTCCACCACTTGTTAGCAGGAATAGAATTGTCTTGGAGAGATTCATCTAATTTGATAAAATATGTTTTTTTAGCTTCCCTAACAAGATCCACTAACTTATTTCTTATTTGTCTAAAGTTAGCCCAGTCTGTAGCAAAATTACTAGATTTAGCTTTTGCATGTATTCTATTTCTCTGTCTAATTTTGAGTTTGATATTATTTCTCATCCAGGGTTTATCATTAGGTCGGACCATTATAAGTTTACATGGTACACATAATTTTGTTTGTTTGATAATGATTTCTGTTAAAATACTATTAAATTCCTCACAATTATGAGTTTCTGTCAGTAATTCCCAATCAACACTATCAATCGCTCTATTCATCTTATCAAAATCAAGTTTATATTTAAGAGATTTGACATTGAGGTGAGATATTACAATGTCAAGATTAGGACCTGGATTAAGTTGTACATCATTACAAAGAAACAGTACTAGTTTATGAATATAAGAATGATATGTAGTGTTGTTTATAGATTCAATGCAATAAAATTCTCCAATATACTGATGTGTCCCTTCACAAGAGGTTAGAGGGGAGTTATATTCAGCCATCATCAAAAATAGTGGATTGACAATGTATGGGACGCATCAGGATCAACAGACAGATAATGTAAACACAGCAGCAGGGTATACAGCGTTAACATGGCAATGACGACTGGACACCGGATGAGCATTTTCGGATACATACATCAGGTAGACAAATTGGATAAGGTTGCAGAACAATAAATAAATATACCTTAAATAAGGTTCCATAAGACATTAACCGGCTCATAGTCGGAGTAAACACACGGGGTCAAATCATGTCTTTCACATTATGGTGTTTATATGACGTGAGATTTAACAGAAATTCCTCAAAGATTAAGGCCTCTCGTGTTTTTACAGAATTTTTCTTAATGCAGTAACAGTGATCATGACGTAGATCTTACAACCCCGAAACTCCTACATGTCTGAAATACAATGATCCTTTATAGTGTGTGATATGTGATCGAAAAACATCGAGATATGAAGCCGATAGAGTGTTGACAAGGATTATCAGATAAAAAGGTAAAGACGACCTTTACACTTCAACCCTGAATCCCGAAATTTCCCAAAATATTATGGTCCTTTACATACGCTGGCAGTTCGACCAGTTCGCTAGGACTCTGATAACGCCTTCAAATGGAACATCGACGTTACAATGACATAGTATAAACTTTTAACTGATATGCTGATTATTTTTTCTGTAAGTCCAGCATAGTTGAGCCAAAATATGTCTTCACGTTGCCGGGAAGTTTTGTTCATATTTTAATCAATGACACCGAAGTGTTGAGCATCTTTGAAAAAATAATTTTTCTTGCGGAAGTTACAAAAATCAGCAGATCTAGATTCTTTAACATGTTCCATTATGCTTTTCAAAACTGGGGGTAATGGTTCAAAACCACATAATTCTGCATGGTCTTTGTTCAATTTCCACTCCAGATCACCCATTCCCAAGTAATGCGCATGTAAATGGGACATGCCGTAATCTTGTCTCTTCTGTTGGAATTCTCGCTCGGCGTCTTCCAACATCGCCTGTTCCGATGGTAATTGGATTCCACCTTTCAGAATAGCAACTGCCGCCTTGGCTTGTTCGTGTGCCTGCATAAAGTAGCTCACATGACGCGTAATTCCTACGAAGAATAGATTATGGTATTTGATATGTACTAAATGCTTATACAGGGGTTTAATCCTTTCATCCTTTACTTGTATGGTGTCATCAGCCAGAAATGGGAAATCATAACTGTAACCTGTGCAGAATATGATACTGTCAACCTCCGTTTCGGATCCATCTAAAAATACGACCTTGTTTCCAACATCTAGATGACTCACATCCGGACGTTCTGATACGTTTGCTGGTAACTTAATTTGCATTTTATCTTTCCTATGTCCGATGTAAATCTTTAAAATAAAATGGAAATAAAGACTTAAAATGCATTTCATCATATTATGTATGCTAATAGATATTTTCTATTCTCACGCGGATACGTCTTCGATAAACTGACGAATCATTCCATCTGTCGCTTGATGACTGATCAATTCTTTATCATTTAAGACCTGTGTATGAATATGAAGGTAATGTCTGATCTTACCGATTACTTTGATGTTTAAATATATATAACCTAATGGCTCTCGCGATATTTCTGGGATACTCCGACAAGCATAAAGGTGAACGATAGCCCACTGACAAATTCAACATTAGTTTTATTGCAGTGTTATATATAGTTTGCCTGCATTTCATACTCAAAGTTCGTGTGATACCCGACCGCTGCACTTTTAGGCACGCATTGTAAATTGATCCTACTTTGGTTAGTTGAAACGTGCATTCCTATCTTGACTTCTTAAAAGGGGAGATTTTAAAAACAAAATTAATGAATAAATATGATAATAAATGATATATAACTTATTTATTAAAATGTCACTTCATCAATATACTCATTTTTATGAATATCCCACTTTGTAATATTACGGAAATGTCTTTCTCGAAAGAAGAAACAAAAACCATAACAAAACCAGGAAACATGAAGATTTGATAATCTAACATTACATTTCGTTCTTTACATCACATTACAGATCGCGATATCGATGAGTTACACAGTGATTCATTTATCGTTGAAGGCAATTTCCGAGTCAGTCTGGAAACATTCTCATCTCGCAGAGTTACTGCCTTTTGTTTCACAAGCTTGACAGCCGATGGGGACCGAGAATGGTCTCGGAAGTGATGTTAGAACTCACGAATGTTTAATAATGATAATTTTTCTGAAATAAATTATCTAACGTGGGTTTTTTCATAACTATTTCATAGAATGTCTAGTTCATTTTGTATTGCGATTGATAATATACAATGTCATAACTTCATAAATTTTCATGTAAAGCATTGACTGCAGTGAATGAATAAACAATAGATTATAATAATAGGATGAAAATACTCACAACACTATATTCATCATAACTACCTAATTTGTTCCTCATTTCTCATTGCAACCTTTTTTGTAATCTTTCGTTTAAAATCCCTCGTACCATGTTCTGGTTTTATTAAGAAACATAACGAATTTATCAATGATGAAGGATTGCGCAAATGAAACCAAATGAGAACTAATTTAGAATTAAAAAAGAGCCATATATGAGTTTAACTGCATCATACACCTGTTTCGTCCTTCTAGCACTCGTCAGTGAATGTCAAAATGAAGATATGGAGGTGCGCTATGTCATTATCATTCAGTAAGTTCAGTATGCGGTCACTGTGTCTCCCCATTGAGATTATAATGTTTCGCTCCATCAATTTTGAGCGTTACTAGTCGCCTCGTAGTTATTTAAAGGTATAAATGTAGCTGCATTGTTCACTTTCATATTTTTTCACTCAATATCGGATATACATGTTCTGAACCATAGCACTATCACAATCAAACCTTTGCATATAGGTTACGGCTAACTTCGTGCACTGAAAACCATTAGCAGATTTTGCAAAAGACAAAATAAGTAAATCTGTTTGAATCAAACAAAATATTGATTATAAAATTATCAAAAACAATGAAATAACAAACCTTTCCTTAATTTTATCAGCCTCACCTGTGCAGCATTTTTTGATAAATCGAACGTTATGTCCAGACCGGAGAATGACGCTCCAAGAATCAGTACTCTCTGTCCCTGGTAAACCTCCGGCGTCCTGTAATCCCTGCTGTGAATCACATGCCCAGTAAAATTTTCGATCCCCTTCACATTGGGAATATGACACTTCGAGTAGTTACTATGAGGAAATTAATAAATTAAAAACAGAACATGAAAGCAATCTTCAGAAACCACCCACGAAAATAAAATATACATCAATGTTATCGTTTAGATGATCTGTAATTCCTTACAACTCATAAATTTCCTTATATTGATAATCTGCATATGAAGATTTACACATATAGTATTTGGTAACTATAGTACTACAGGGGCTTGCATGACTGGCATGTTTTAAAGTAATTTCTTTCAACTTAAAAAAAGTTTGGATGAAGTATTGTAAAATATGCTAATGTATAAATATATTTCACAATTATGCTATCAAATTATGTTCACAAATAATGTAATATATATAACGTGTCATATAATATATGATAATATATAACGCAGTGAATAAAAATTTAAAAGAAAGACATATTTGAGTAAGATAATATATTATCTGTACCCGTTGCAAATGATGACTCCATCGAATGTATTTGTATGAATTTCCTCGGCATAGTACCTATCACAATAGGTTACATCCCACTTAACCTGATCGCCTTCGTTCTGCACAGGACGAACACTCTTAACAACGGTATTGAACTGTAATTGAATAATAAGGTCTTGTTTTATGTGTATGGCCTAATGTGACTTCAACTGAAGATAATTAAAAGAGTTGCTTATTACTTCACTTAAGGTATCAAAGAAAAGATTGGATACAAGTTTGAGATGATGATAAAAGGTCATCGGCAATATTTGAAGAAAAAACAAATGATCGTGTTGACATGATTTGATTCTTTTTCATATGTGACTTATAAAACCCGTCACATTTTTCAGTTTTGTTGGGATCTTTTAATAGATAATAGGGCAACTGCTTATTACTTTTAATATATTGGATGATAAAACTTGTGCAGTGTCTCTATTCTTCAAATTTACCAAAATATGATCATATATGGCATAAAATAACTAAACAAAGATGTTAGTTTGATATTTAATGTAATTAGACTCGAGCAAAAAACAAGTTGGAAGTAAACAATTTCAACATTCTCACTCATCATTATTTTATTTACCTGTGTATAATACCTCTGTGGGAAGTAATACGTTCAACTGGATATGTATTACAAGTCGGTTAGGGTAATACAGCCTCGGATCGATACGAGTAGTTTTACGGCTACCATTTATAATGAACACTTTAGAAAATTCATCAAAATGTAGTGACTAATGGCGCTGTCTTTTGTAAAAGTTATCAAGTGATAAAATTATTTAAATTCAAAAGTCTAAATGATACAGAACTATATTTTAACTAGCATCCTAATTTGACTGATGACCAAAAGACTCGTCCACTTTGAACGTCGCTGGACACAACATGATATACGCATTGACTTCGAATGTTGTTGCTTTTTGTCGACATTGCTTTTATCGACGTTTCCTAGATATGGATGTGGGGATTCAAATTTTTTAACATATCAGAAAAAAATTCAATTTCTAACCACATGGCGCCCTTTGGTTTTCGGTGGAATAAATAAATTGTTTTTATATCGCAGAGTGTGAAAATCGGATTCAAATACATTTTAAACGTGTGTAATTAGCATAGTCAGAGCCTCGGGTTTTTGCCACTTTTATTACCTTCGGGAATGGAATATATTCATACATATACATATAAATCAAAATGTCTCTATGATAATAGATATTCTCTATGTTTTTACCTTTACATACTTGTCCAGGTGGAAGTGCTTAGTGAAACCTTTAATATACTCTAGCATCTCTGTGTGATGAAGATAGGATATTCCGGTCTGTTTGTGCGGGTATCCGGGTATCATTACTAGCTCTTTAGGGCCATTTGTCCTGTAACGAAAGACCAACAGGGGTCACAGAAATCCCTGTATCAAAGCTCTAGGTACATATGTTTGATTGTCCTTCAGTTTTGAGAGAATGAAACTAAATCTAATGAGTAGTAAACATCATCGGACAATTTTCTGAAGGATGGTGTTGTAAAGGATGTTTCGAAAGATACACAAGGAAAGAGTTAGGGATGGTATATTGGATTTTTTTTTTCTCGCATCCTTGATAAACATTAACACTATGTACATTTGTAAGTTGGTGTGAAACCTTTTCATTGCGCAGTCATCAATGTCCCATAAAACGGGCATCAATATTAATGACGTCATACATTTGCGACATGACGATTCCACATAAAATGATGGCGCAACGCATTGTGAGAAGCCTTTCAGCTGTCTTTCTCCACCTCATGTGAGATAAACCCTGGACAGGTATATCTACACTGATAACTGGTGTAAGAATTCCATGTTTCAAGTACAATGTGTCATAAAACAGGCACTTTGTTTCCTATTTAAAAGTAAAAACTCGAAAATATGGAGCAACATGAAATTATTTTTTTTAATCCAGAAAGGAAGGGTTTGGGTATAAAAAATAACAATATGTACTTATTTTAATTTCTCATTATCCTTCGGGTCGTCTTTTCTTTTGGATATACAAACGAGAATGCGTTACGTTTAGGTGTCACGTTCATGACTACAGCAGAGAAAACTTTAAATGCATACGACTTACATTAAGTTGTTGTATACCCCTGAGTGTGTTGGATTGCCACATTCGTCAAAAGCGGTTTCTGTATAGGACCAAATACCACCGACTCCATGAAGCTTTTCGAAGGCTGTTGGTACAAAATCCTCCAAGTTTTCTGTCAAATGTTTGAGCGCACAAAGCCCAGATACTCCGGCGCCTATAACAGCTATTTTCTTTCTGTTTACAAAGCGGTCTTCACTTCTAAAAGTAATATATATATATACACACACAATCAGATTGATGAAAAGTACGAGGAAAGATTATAACCGTCGTAGTAATCTAAATGAGGATTTTTAAAAATTTCCTTGTGTAATATGAAGCTGGAGGTTTTTGATGCTTGTAGTTTGCTTTTGTATACCTTGTACTCGTGTAATACGTGACATTACTGATTACATTGACCAAGGTGGCAGGTGGCAGCAATAAAGCAGAGGACGCTTACTCTTCAAGAACACTTGGTCTTATTCTCCCAGTACTTTTTCAGGAGCTTCTATGTCAATCTTTCTTTTGTCCATATTTTGCCATAATTTTATTAAATTCGGAAATTAATTGGCTTTGGATTATGATTAAGTGGAAATATTGGTATTTTCGATTTGTGTTAATAGGCATATCAATTTTTTCTCTTATCGACAATAATTTTTGTTGATATTTATGTAAATACTGCGTACCGCCATAGTGTGTTTGTTGTATATTATAATGGAAAGTTTGTGTTCCTGAATCCAGGAACAAGATAATGTTTGTTCAAGTTCAATTCAAATGTATTTCAATGACTAAATGGGTAAATAAATTTAGTTAGATCTGAAACAATTACAAGTATAAGCTTCATAATTGACAGGATCATTCTATTTTTGTAATGACGTCTCTAACATTTATGCGACTTGAGCTAAAACATTATTTCAATATCAATTTAGGCCTATTATAAGGTGACACATAATCTGACAGGAAAAACAAAGAAAACCAAGATAATGAAAGACAGAGATCTTCTCTGAAGTCGTTTTTAAAAACTTAGAAATATTGCAAAGTAAAGTTCTACATCAGGTAAACAAAGCTAAATGGAATATGTAAATAGTTTCATATGATAAAAAAACTCTATGTACAAGGACATTATACTTAAAGAGACTACACTGACTAAAACTTATACAAGGATGTGCTCTAATTTTATATATACTGGATTTTTGAGTTCGCTATGAAATAAAAGTTTTTTTGCTTATGTTAAAAGGTACTCAAAAGGACTAGAACAGTAAAAGTTAAACATTTAGGCCAGGTTTAGCTATTTATATAGGTTCGTGTTGTTTTGTACAATAAATCTTTCTTGAATAAACGTTTAGATGTTGATGTTTTCATGCCATCAGTGTGAATTATTTCCGTCACAAGGATTGAAGGACATATTTTATTCCTTAAAATAGATCCATCCGAATAGTGTCACGTTATGCTTACCTGGGTGCAATTTTCATGTCTGTGTTAGATACAGGAAAAATCCAGGTCTTCTCAAAGTCACTTAACTCCATCTTTTAATCGCTACACACCACGATGAGAGACTTTGCGCACTATTTACACTAATATATCTACAAATGAAGGCGAACTGTAATGAAGCAAAGCATCTTGTGTCAATTTCTGTGTGCACGTGACGCAATATCCAATAAAAAATACGCGAAATGACTCGGCAATTTCCACACTGTTTTTAAACACTCGTACCAGTCTGTATGTAAACCGTTAATACATAACTTATCATTCCAGTCTTATTGCGCTAGAATATTCAGGTCATGCATTTGTTGTAATAAAGCGAAAAAAACCAGCTTTTTAAATCTTACATAGTTACACAAAAGAATATCTTATATTTCTTGAATGCATGAATAATTACATTTATAAGTACACACGAACATATATATATATGTGTGCAGTGTGTAGGTATTCAGTTTTCTTAAGCGTCGATTTTATCAGAACTTTATATGTCACGTCCGTCGTATAAACCACACAGAACTGGAAACCAACGACAAGAGAGTCTCTTATACGTCAGTCAACTTCCTTCCTTGATCCTTTTTGTTAAAATAAGACAAACATGGACAGCTTTCGTTCACGCTGTATTATGATTTTAATATCTGTTGTTGTTTGCCTTGTTCTCATTTGTGAATGTAACATTACTTTCATAGATTGACAAAGAATTTACACGATTTTGCTATTATTAGTGCTGTATGTTACTTAGCGGTATTTAAATAAAGGTCATATCTTAACACCGCATTTGGTTTCGCTCACTCTAGGGGGAAAATAAGTATAGGTAAACTCAGGCACCTGCGATTGGTTTTATCAACATTTATATAAACGAATTTTCACAATCACGCAGGAAAATCAATGAACATGTATCAAAAATAAGTAAGGATCTAGAGGATATTTAATGGCCTGCCGTTTACGTTCTTATATTTTTTTCTTTTTTTAAGTGTCAATAGGTTCTGTGATGTTGAATAGTCTGACTTATCACACGCCAACCAGATAACATTTATCATGCAAGACTGGTACACCATGTTACTCCCTAAATGAACACTTCTATTCTAATAGTGTCATATTCTCCCGGCTTTGTTCCTGCGTTGCCATTGAAAACTAAACAATATAATTTACTAATGTAACAAATATGCAGTAATTAGAAGTAATCATATCCTTAGTTTGCCGCATCACTTATCTACTCCTTGGTGATGATTCCTTGACCCATCAAGGAAATACTACAGTTTTTCAAGCCGTTCAAAATTACATACTCAAAACCAGGATATTTCAAACCAACGATTACCTTTTCTTTATGCTTGTCTGTTATGTATTCGTTATACTAGCATGTGTGATTTTTGTTATTATTATTATTGAATTTATATGCTTTTTCTGATATTTTACCAATTTTATACCATAATTTATCACTAAATGACAGTTATCTTGATGAATAGATTAGCGATTGGTTATCTTAAAAGTGCAAGACATGGCAATGCTGAGGCGAGAAGGTTTTTTATGGACTCCCTATTTGAAATCGTGATAACTAGGTACGTGAATTGCAACGTTTGTCCTATCATATATTTATGATCATGGCGGTGCATGGCGAAACATTTAATTCGTCAATATTTATTCAAATGTTATAAAAAAAATGCGTAATTTTTAATTATATTTTTGTTATATACTTCGAAGGCTCATCAGCTTTGCAAATGATATAATCGACAAACATAGTTACTGTTAACGTTTAAATTCTGGTGGTAGTCTTATTTTAGTGATTTTCGTGCTGAAAACTTTCCGCTATATTTTGATTGCGCTAAATATATTTTATGTACATTGCTCTCTTCAACAAGTGAATGCGACAATTGATAATTGCTCCTAATTGTTTATATTTGGTTATTCATTAAACTGGATTGCACCAAAATAAGTAAGCTTATGATATATTATACAGATTTGTGTTCCACACACCCTTTGCAAAATAGTGTTTTGATATATTTTTTTCATTCCTGGTCTACACTAAATACCCATCCCTTGCCGTTTATATTTCTTCTGCTGTTCAAATTACTACATTCCTGTAGCTAGTGTTGTAACTGTTGAAATGTATCATCTGACATATTTCAAAAGTATGATGATATTTGTTGTTTTTTTCTTTCTATATTGTATTATATATAATTCACCTCAAGTTGAATTTTCAATTCATGAAATGGGTAAATCAGACACAGACATTTGCAGCTTTCGTTCATCCTTCTCGAAATTGCAGTTAAAATTAAAAAAAAAAAAAAAAACATTTATATACTGACAGCCATCGAGACGTTATATTAACGTTACAAGTCTAAAGACTCTTTTAGAAACTGTTGAGATTTATAAAATTCTAGGTTATCTGAAAGATGTTGGTCTATATTACAGAATATGACTGATCATTTTTATCTTTTATGATAATATAACCATTTGAGATTTTTAGCATTTGTCTTTTACCTTTTAGTGTGTTGATGCCATTTACTTTCGGATCATCGGTGCTTCCTTCACCGGTTGATGACCCTTATGACCTTTTATGTATTGATGGGCCGTTAAGATTGTAATAATGATAATAATAAGTTACAGAAATTAAAAAAAATAGACATTTTAAGGAAAATCGATTTGAAACAATAACACGTCTTAAAATGCAGATTGTTCCATGTTACCGGGCTATAAATAGCAACTATTTGTCATCGTGATATATTCATATAAAGTAATGTATATTGGAAGTTGCAGCTGATTTTATTCAATTTATTTCATTTTTGACATTTGTACAGTATGTATCAACTGGTACTAAATATATATACGTATGTGTGTGATGTTGTTTCGACATTCTTGTAATGCACTCAACATTGACGATAAATTACTTTAGATTTTCTTACCTGTTACCTGTACTGCCTGCGAGTCATTGGCATGTGCAAAATAAAAAAAAAAAAAAACAGAAATGCATAAAGGGCTTACATTTAAGCAATGCAGGTCGTTCCTATTTATTTATTTATTATCATTATTTTTTCATTGCGATATCATACTATATTAGTAAAGTTAAACAAAATACTTCCAGATAGGTAAGTAATGGAAAAATCTATAAGAATAAGGACGACACATGACAACCTGTTTCAGTTAGCCATATTATCCTGTTCTAAAAATACCTCTTAGTAGTGACAGTTGCGCTTGTTGCCAAATTGCTGGAAAGAGAAACATTTTTACATTTTTACATTTTGCTTCAGCTGTATTGTAAATATTAAATTCAGGAACAGATAAAAAGAACAATGTATCTCTTTTTTAATAAGGAAGATACCTTTAATTAAAATAATGCATTGTAGATACAGTATAATTGTACAGTATACACGACAATGACTCGAATTGTTAATGCAGTGTAATATACAAGTATTCATAGCCTTACCAGAGAGGTTAAACCCTTAACTCTAATTAGGAATAATAGATAAACGAACCAGAAACTATCCTTCATGTCAGATAGAAATGCGAAAAAAGTTTTTTTTTTTTTCGACAAATGTTTAAGAGTTGTTCCTAAACAGTCACAGTGCACGCACCTCTGTAAATTGCTTACGAACTGCCAATAGTTGACCTCAAGGTCAGGTCAAAGTATGACGTCAGGCAAAACTATGGCGACATCCCTGACAACACTAACTAATCGATTTTATTTTTATTTTTTTTCCACAGGCACCCGTTATTTACATTGTAAATCGTCAAAGTAATATCCTGTCCACTGTTAACCATACAAGAGAATGTGACAGTCACACAAAAGAGATAATTTAACCATATAAGTCCTACTGTTATAGCACATACGTATATAAACATGCTATAATATAGGCGTTTCTGCTGTGCATAATTAAACATGTATGTGTATATCTATTTCTTTGTGACTTTATAACCGATTTTCAAGTAACCTAATAGAATATTATTAATTATTTGAAATTTTAAAAAAAAGTTAAAGCTTATAATTATCGAGAATTCTACAATTGTTTGACCTTAATCAAAATTATTGAAAAAATAAGCATGTACAAGCACATGAAATAAATGGGGGAAAATGTTCTTCTCTTTGTAAACAGAGAAACACAAGAACATCATAATAATTTAGATTTAATTCCTGTAATTGATGTTGATTTCAGTCTATGATGAAATTGTCAAAATTATCAATATATATTATTTTGTCACATCAACTTTTCATTTCATAATCTGAATATTTTTATGATTGATTTTTATTTAATAGTTGTTCGTTGATAATATCACATAATTATCCAGAAAACAGTTTGGAAACATCTGCTGATTCTGTTTATTACGATATTCTGGCATGTTTAAAACACTTTAGGGGAAACGATAAACATCTTGTGTACATAGAATTCAAGAGTTATCTTTCTTGACCCATGCAGCAAAAACCGAAACCGAAAATGACAGATTAATACTGCTTCTAAGTAAACCCATGATGCATTTCTTTGCGCTAACTTGTTGGTGATTTGCACGAAGCACATCCAACAGATAAGACGACGATATATAGGTAATGCCTCTCTCTCTCTCTCTCCCTCCCTCTCTCTGTCTCTCTGTCTCTCTGTCTCTCTCTCTCTCTCTCTCTCTCTCTAACAGTAATGCATTCGGAATATGATATCAATGTTTGTAAATTAGTATCATGTGCAGAGGGCTCAGCGTAGGAGAGTACGGACGTATTGTACTGTAGATAGGCCTTGTCATGTCATAAATTACTAAGCTATAATCATTCTACACGATTCAAGTACGAGTCGAGTGTAGTTTTCTATACTTCTTCCTGTAATATTCGTATCTCATGTGAACGTTCCACAGGTAAATAAAGTAAATAGTCATTTGAACTTATCCTGATATGCACAAACCTTCGGACAGTTAAAGGGATTAAACTCAGCGCAGTGACAAAGGTATGAGATTTTTATAGACTACGTTATCACGGATCATTATTTCAGAAGACGCTCACTTCTAGGAAATACCCTTGCCTTATCTCTTGGACTTTGTGAAACAAGGTAATTCGAAAAATTCGTTATCCTGACGATATTATCAATCATGGATACTGCGATTGCAGAGATAAAGAAAGCAATCGCCGAAGAGATGCCACATGAAAGTTGTTCTTTCACTCTCTGTAAAGCTAGTGTGTTTCCACCAACGTACAGATTCAAAATAATCATGAATAGCGATGCTGATTTTGATGAACTCTCTCACATTCGAAATACATTTCGTCGCTTGCAAGATGACCGCGTTCACAGCAGGGATTATCCTTGTGCACAAAGCTCAAATCAAGAATGGAACCAAGAAAGAAAAATAATCGAATTTGACATCGTTCCAGGGTTTCTCCTTCAAACAGATTTAGTTCCTAATCCGGACTCTTGGATTCCAATGACATGTGACAGATACGCTGTTATGAAATGGATCCATAAAGAACGTTATGCAGATGATTATCCTAGCCCTGACTTGCTCTGGAGGGAAAGCACATGCGGATACGAGAAACATATCATCGATATTAGCTGTAGAAACGAAAGGTACCTCTACATCCTCACAGCTTGTAGGGTTTTAAAGGCTTACATAGACGGCTCTAGCGGCTGTTCACAGCTTTCAAGTCTCCTGTCGTCTTACCACTTGAAGAACATTGCGATCCACTGCATTCTTCTGCAGATTAATATTTCCAGCGTAAAGGAAGCTTTGGGCTACTTCATGATTTTTCTGGAGATAGGCCTTGAAAAGGAGTTCTTGCCACACTATTTTTACGGTAATTCAAATATCGCTGATATGTTTTCAATGCTCTCACCAAAGATCGGCAGTAAACGTCTCAATCTGCTGAAACATATCCCAGGAGATCATTTTGTACAGGCTCGGCTTTCTCTAGGACGGATGCAAGCTGACTTGCGCCCACTTTACGCCGAAAGCTTTGAACTTTGTAACCCTAAGAAGATAGATTCTTTCAGAGAACTCTGCTCTGTGTATGATGAAAGCGGTAAATGCATTTTGATGTAAAAATCTACAGAATACACTGACCAATAATTCATGGAACACTTGTAAAATTTAGAACATTGGTGTTATATACAAGCTTATATGGATTTTTTTCCCGCTTCATTAGAACAATAACATTTAGAGTAGTATTGTACATGTCAAAGACTGCAATTCACAACTACACGCTGGTCTGGTGGGGAGAGCATACAATATTACTTGGCCGGAAATTTGGACCGCCTCCATTTCGCTTGCGTATTATAAGTCATGCTAATCGGAATGCATGGACAATTTGGCATAGAGCATGGGTGTCTCTCTCGCTTGTTCTAGCATTTATATTTCTTCCTACTGTCCACTTTAACATTAAGTATTTTAATGGCTAATAAATCATGTAACCAATTAGTTTGTTGTCGTTCGTTTTTTCTAAGTTAATGAATATGAGAACATTATTACGCAGAAAAATGTGAATTCGAATAATGAATTTATGTATTCATAAACAAAATGATATGTTACATTTGGTAACAAAGCTTCTCTAATTCATAATGACACAGTGAATCAGACAGTTGTTCAATCGGAATTGAAACTCATAGCCACAGCAAGGAAGTGAGGTACAAATCAAGTCCTGAAGTTACTGGCCGTGTGTGGCCATCATCTGCTTTGATGCCTCCACACATGGAACTGAAGACTGCCATCAACTTGAGGAGATACGACGTAACGCAGAGGTCTTTGACTCCTTTTGATTAAAATTGATATAAATATATTTTAGTGCACATAAGTAGCAGTAGGATTGGGCACAAGTTTTACAACTTTCCAAACATATTAATACACACACAATATATTTAAAAGGTGGCAGTAGGATGTGATAGCAATGAAATAATCATGAACAAGTTTAGTGAGAGAGAGGAGGGTAGGGGGAGGAATTGTATAACACGAGATATATACTTTGTATATGTGTAGATCATGAATCTGTTCCTGCTTCATGCAAGCGAAACAGGCGAAACACTGTCCACATGCCTAAACTCACAACTTGTCAATGTTCATCACTTCCCGTGCTTTGTATACTTTCTCCTTGTCACTCGTTGCTTTCATGTATATATCCGTCTCCATTTGTTCGCTTGCACAGAAAAAGAGCAGGTACACGGTACACATCTACAAATGCTTTTCCATAATAAAACGTTGTATTAATTTTAGACGTTACATCGCATTTCATATCAATGATATCATTTACAAATACTAATAATAAGATAAATGACTTCAGAAGAGTGAGGAAGAGCGGGATAGAGAAATTCAGAAATATTCTTGCTAGAATCTGTTTGTTCCATGGCTATATTGCTGAGTATGCAAAAGTATGGTTTGGTTTTCTTGTTCAGAAGGAGAAGTTTCCCCGAACAGGAGTAAATTCAAGTTTAAGGGTATATATTGATTTAGTTGACGAAACAACTATATTCGTTGGTCAATAAAATTATCATAGATAAAAAAAGAAATGATAGTTGTATTCAACAGGAGAGTCACATGTACAATGATCCTTGGAAGATAGATTTACTCGGAATAGATCACTTTCAAGAACACTAGCATTGTTTCTTAACTTGGTTTGCAAGCTGTCAAGTAGCTTACTTGGTATCCCATAACTAGCCAATTTCATTTCCAGTCCCCTATGCCACACGCGATCGAATGCCTTAGAAACGTCACAAAATACTAAACACATAGGCTAATTATTTTCAAGATTGTCACATATATTATGATAAATTTCAACTAGCTGATGTACTGTGGCATGTCCTGGTTGAAAATCTGACTGAAATTTGTGAAAGAGTAAGTTCTCTAAAAGAAAGTTATGTAAAATTTTAGCAACTAGCCTTTCAAAACCTTTACCAACAGTACTTAGTAGAGCGATAGGCCTGTAATTTGCAGGATTATTGCCTCCAAGTTGTCGCTTTCAACTAAACACTAATTTTTTATTTATCCTGTTTCCGAATCTGCAAATGATTTTATATTTTTTGTCACGTGGTGAGGAAATTCAACATGGTTTATCTATTACTCTTATTGTTGATAATATTAACATAGTTGCATTTTCGAATCACATTTTGCTTTAGTTTGTTTCCAGAATGTGTGACAAATACATGGTACAACTATTTTGATATCACATCCTTTAACAGCCCTCCACCTGATAGCAGCCCTCGATGTTTGAATTACACTGTATCTGTCGTTAATCAGGTCACAGAGTATCATATACATATATATTTAGGGTGTGATTTTAAATATAATAATCCTATTTATTGTTTATACATTGTTACTTTCACATTGTTGTAAACAGTGAATAAAAATGAGTCAAAATATAACTGAAAGATGTCTCAAATACAGCATACGCTAAGTACTTTTCAGCTTCCATATATGATGTCGTGCTGTGATTTGGACAGCCCCTGCCTAAAATTCTAGGTATATTTAAGAAATATTGATGGTGATGATTCCCGTAAAACTATCAAATATAATCCAAATACCTAGTCACAATACTAGTAAAATCTACTGCTACACCTTGTTATTATACTCAACAAATATTGCGCTCGAGTGCTCCTTTGAGGCAAAATAAATTTTATCGGAGTGTGTGTGTAGGGGTGAAGGGTAGGAGGGAGCCTATAGTGTTACCATTAAAATGAAAGTGAAAGAGAATATCAATGTTTTCCAAGTAATACGGTAGGTGTACCCACACTGCAATGTTATATATTTCTTATTGGTGAGTGACACGTCATGCACATAGCAGATAAGACAAGTTAGTGATTTATTAAAGTATTTTTCATACAGATACATATTAACATTTTGCAAATGCATTTTATTATATATTTCTATATCAATGAATGCTGCGCCAGTGGTTTAATTATCGATAAAAGCATCTTGACATAGAAGTCCTTTTAATTGTATATTTAATACCAAATTGATCACTTTGAATGGATTACTTACACAAAATCATACAGGGACTTCATGTCATCCTTGTTATTTGTGTCCTCCTAACATTGAACTGAATGGGGGGTTAATTTGATATCTGAAGTTACGCATTGATCTTTTTAAACCCTAATTTTAACTAAAATGATACTTCACACACTCACGTAAATTTCTATGTCTGCTTACACTTTATAAAACAAATCCTACCAAGGAAGAAATGGTCGTATTACGTATGGCATTAGCATGAAAAGTGTGTTGAACAGGTTGTATTGATCAATTACCTACGTGTTTTTATTATTACGTGACAAGTAAGTCAGTCTAACCATTGTTTTTCCGTTTCTCATGATACATATAAATGAACAAAAAGCACTGATGATATATATAAGTGACCTAAGAGCACCGATGATAGATATAAGTGAACTAAGAGCAGTGATGATAGATATAAGTGAACTAAGAGCACTGATGATAAATATAAGTGAACTAAGAGCACTGATGATAGATATAAGTGAACTAAGAGCACTGATGTTAAATATAAGTGAACTTAGAGCACTGATGATAGATATAAGTGAACTTAGGGCACTGATGATAGATATAAGTGAACTAAGAGCACTGATGATAGATATAAGTGAACTAAGAGCACTGATGATAGATATAAGTGAACTAAGAGCACTGATGATAGATATAAGTGAACTTAGAGCAGTGATGATAGATATAAGTGAACTTAGGGCACTGATGATAGATATAAGTGAACTTAGGGCACTGATGATAGATATAAGTGAACTAAGAACACTGATGATAGATATAAGTGAACTAAGAGCACTGACGATAGATATAAGTGAACTAAGAGCACTGACGATAGATATAAGTGAACTAAGAGCACTGACGATAGATATAAGTGAACTTAGGGCACTGATGATAGATATAAGTGAACTTAGGGCACTGATGATAGATATAAGTGAACTAAGAGCACTGATGATAGATATAAGTGAACTAAGAGCACTGATGATAGATATAAGTGAACTTAGGGCACTGATGTTAAATATAAGTGAACTAAGAGCGCTGATGATAGATATAAGTGAACTAAGAGCACTGATGTTAAATATAAGTGAACTAAGAGCGCTGATGATAGATATACGTTAACTAAGATCACTGTAAGTGTGATTGCATATAAATTCTACATAAGACTGTAAAAGGAACAAGGAATTCCGATTTTGAATCTGAAATGCGCAATTTTCCAAAAGGTATCTAAAGGATTGTACAAAAGACAAACTCGATATATCACCTTATCATTATTATTTGATTTATTTCTTTATTAAAATGCTACATTCTACTCGATAACCATTGGAGACAACACACCGTCTTGAAGCAAGTCTTGTTTCTGTTTTCTGTTCACAAATATGCACCTAGTCTGTGTGGATCTGGCTGGCATCCAATTGGGCAGAAGTGCGAAACAATAAATAAGAAAAGGTTTGTACAATTGTGGGATCGCACAAAGTGGTGTTTTATTGCACCGCCATTAGGCCATTCAAACCACGCAAGTCCTTAAATTATCCTGACTGATATTAGGACGTAAAGCTAACATCTCCTTCTTGTCTTGGTAACAAAACAGCTAAATTCTTATACAGTTAGAAAATCAATTTATTTACATTCGTTCTGTGTTACTCCCATTCTTTGATGTTTGTGAAGCATAAATATATGCACAGGTAAACTTTAAATGCTTGTGTCTGTTATACAAGAGACCACAAGTAAACTTTTCTGTCGGGAGCAAACCGCTCCCACTGTTTGAGGTATATAAACTATACATTAGAGAAACTAATTAACACAGCTTTTTCTGGTTGTTTTTCGATAACTATAAAAATCAAAGACTAACTTTTTAATTACTGTTCAACACTAACACGCTGTTCAGTCAGGACAAAACATAGTTTCCGACTGTTTTTCAATCTGTAATACTAATCAATCATTTGTACCAAAATGCACAAAATGTACGATCCTATCGCACAGTTATGTGCTAGATACTGGTTTGTACGTGTGCACACACAAAGTTTCTGAAGCATCGTTTGATCCCACAACAGTAGTTAAAGCTGTTTTGTCAT